TCGTTCGTGGCTCATGACCAGGCAAGAGTACGCAGCGCAAAGTGCGAAAACTAAACGAACCGGCGGAAGAAAGAAACTTTTTTTTTTCAAATGATCAACTGTATTGCTCTAGCCGAAGAGTAAATGGTTCATATTAAAAAAAGGTTGTACACTATTCCTTTTAGAAAATTGGGCTCCATTTTTGTGCGGTATCTCAACTGGAAAATAGACACCAATTTCGCGCAAAGTAAGGAAAAGTCTCACCATAAAGTCTCTTTCCCAGCTTCAACCGTGGTAAACAAAATGAGGTGGTTTTCTTGAAATATATTTTTTTTTGAAAAAGAAAAATTAAAAGAAAATGAAGGAAGGAAAAATTTTATACAAAGACTAGTTAAGTAAAACTTGCTGTGAAAAGAGAAGAGGTGTCCTTAAACAGCATTAGTTTGCAACATCCTGGGATCACAAACCTACTGAGCCGTATTTGAGACAAATGAAATCTAAGGAAAAAGTCGACAACAAGACAACAGACCTTACTCTAACTGGTAACAAAATGTCCTTCTGGCAAAATTTGCTTTACAAACTCGATTGACCAAATTACCAATATAGAAAAGAAATGCTTAAGAGTCATGTTGGCGCCTCCGCGCCTATCATTTGTGATAACAGGAAATCCCTTTTTCTTTGGCATGCAGATCGGCTTACAGAACCTGACAACAAAAGAAATATCCTCGAATTCCTGTAGACATGGAAGAGTCAATCACAAGTGCTATGTGGCTATCTGTTTAAAATTCTTTTTGTTTTTCTTTTCTTTTATCTGCCTGTCTATGCTCTTAAGTCCACTAGACAATTGCGAGCCTTACTTGAGACAAATTCTTAATAGTTTAATTCCTTCCTTCCATTTTTTTTCAGTGCTCTGTTGTACGTGGAACGCGATGTAGCGAAGACAGTGAGTGCACATGTGTAATGAGCCGTTCCAGTCCCTCGCTGATCTGTAGCTACAGGAATTGGTGCGAAGAGAAAAGTCCTTTGGACGAAATTTGGAGGAAATTACCTGTAAGTTCGTTAAATACCCCGGAAGTGATTAGCGTACAAAATCTTTTAGCAATTTCAATACTTAATCCAGCCCGCAGGTGACGAGGAAAAAAAATATCATGAGCTAAAGTTCGATTCTGTCATCTTAATATAAAACTTAATTAACTTTACTAATTTTCAAGGCAATTAATAACCAGATCTTAGGGTTCAAAGAGTCGAAATTGCAAATTAGAAACCAGCTGCATTCAAACCATGTATACTATGCACATAAATCGGTTTGAAATTGGCTTTAGGGTGTTCACGGTTCTTAACCTTAAAAAGCACCGGGCACATCGTTTGAACTGCGTTGATTTTGGATCCTCGATCTCCATGAATTAATGATTAACGAAAACCTTGCAAATTAAACAGTTCTTTAACTCGGATCAATATCAGTATCAGGGCAACTACCCACCTACCCCTCCCCTAACTCAACAACAGTCAATTGATATCAAGTTAGGGTTAATGTTGGGTTAGGGGAGGGGTAGGTGGGCAGTTGCTCAGATACTGATATTGATTCTTTAACTCGATATTTTCAAAGAAACTCTTTTGCCGTCTTGTGCGAGAGTAATTGGTCCACTGTGTCAGCTAATCGTTTACTCACGCGCTATGCAAATTTGTCTTTCAGTGCCCCCTTATTTACAAATCACTTTGCATGGAAGATGCCGATTGTCCTTGCAGCGAGGCTCCGCTTATCTGTGAAGACAGGGAGTGTGTCAGGGCCAAGAAAACCTTTGCCAGGAACACTACCTCTTCCTCCGCAGTAGATTTGATAAAACTGCACGATCGCAGTTTCTTTTAGTAAAAAAGAAACACATTCAAGTGTGAACAAGACTTGTGCATCTTGAAGTAAAACATCATGGCTAAATTTTTTGAAGGTCGTCATTCAGTTTGCCAAGCGTTTCTTCCTTCTCCACTTAGTTACCCTTGTTCGTTATGGATTCATTACAGCCCTTGTAGTGTTTTTCTATCAATCCGATCCAAAATTACATTTTCAGCCTCTCAGTTGAAGGTAGTATTAGACAATGCCAAAAAAAGTTTAAAAATCGTGCCATGTAGCTCCATTTTCAGATCAAGGAACAACCTCCTTAATTTAAGTATCACTTAACATCCAATAAATCAAGAGTTACATCCGGTGCAAACCCACGGCAAGCCGAAACGCAAATGAGTTTGCAACTGTAGAAACGAAACAGAAACATGCCTCCACAACTGATTATTTGCAAGAGTAGTTTGAATCAGGCACTGAACTACGCAAAGAAAAAGCCCAACTGAACAATTATTTCCACTAAGAATTTTGGTTCTGTCTACCAAATGTAGATCATTGCTAATCAATGGTTCATTGTGAGTCGAATGGCACTGAAATTTAATAAACAGATTGCAAATATATTTAGCATGTTTCATCTAAAAGAATAATACCGGTACCGATCAAAGAACTCTGCACGTGGATAATCGTATCAAGAACTGACTGATTATACCATTATTCAGAATTTTGCCTTAATCGTGTTTCGTTGTCAAAAAAAATAAATGGAATACCACACCATTCTGCTCCAATATTCAGCTACGAGAGCTCAGGCCAGTAGTTTACAATGGAAAATAGGGTCAAAAACCATGAAGTCACAATATGACCCAAACATACCGAAGTAACTGACGGAACAAATTATTTCTAACGCAATAAATGGACAGTTCAAAGCTTGACAAATCTATCCTTTCCTTGAACCTTTTTCTCATTTTTTGGAAAAGTAAAAGCGTCATCAAATCGAAGGGTCAACTTCAAAAGACAACAAAGGGTTATTTTACCACAACAAAAATTGGATCCCCTCCTTCTTTTTTTGGAGCAAAGGCCAATATTCTCTTACCAGTGAAATGCTTTACGGATCAAGCATAGTGCGGAGGTTAAGCTGCGTAACGTTGCCAAACGTCAATAAAATGAAAAGGAAAAAAAAGAGAGAACGTTAAGAAATATAAAAAAATAGACCAAAATTAACCTGCTGTACATAACGTTAATGGATGTTTCGTTGAAAGAGCTAGTGAAGGCAGGATCGATGACAGAGGCTGTTAAACTTAAAGGTAGATATTACAAGTCATCGGCCACTAACAGGCTCGAATGCAACTTGCTGTTTATAGTCTGCTTGGTTCTTGTTTCTGTATTATTACGTTTGAAGTTTTCGTTCAAACACTTCAGGCGTTTTAATTCTCTCTTTTACTTTAACTTTCAGAGGTTGTTATACAATGATTTTCCTCATTTAGTACAATAAAAAAATCCTTGAATTCAAAAAATTTCAAACACTGACGACCTAGACAGTAATTGACCCAGTTTTTGATCTAACGTTGACTTAAAAAAACAAATTGCTCAGGGTTAGACAAGACAAGGCATTCGGTAAAACGTCCTCGACAAACACTGACCAATTGTAGCAACCATAACTGAAATAAAAATTCATTTTTTTCAATCATCTGACAAGACAGTTATGCAGTGAATATGGACCAATCTTAGTAACTAATTTGACAAAAAGAAAATCTTGTTACTAAAAGCGATTAACGGAAGAGAAACGCTTGACATTATCCCACGTATTCATCTCAAGGTATGCTACTTCATGAGTGTGAAGATATTTTCCTATAGACCTTATCCAATTAAACCAATTTTCTCCAAAGAGGATAAAAGAAATCATTTGTTAATGGGATTTCTTAGTGACCTCAGTTCATCACGTAGCCACAGAAGCTAACGGACACACATACATTCCCTTAAAGAGAGGTGCGACCTCATCCTCTACTTTCTACAGGCCATGGGGTGATAAAATAGCAGCACCATTAACTAGAATTGTTTAATCCTGTAATATGGGCAAAGGGGCAGGTAATAGAACAAAGGTATTAGTTTTTGAAGTTATCACTGTGTGATGCGCTGGGCAAGTTAGACAGTAAATGATAAACATCTTAAAATTGATTCAAGTAGATAAATCCCCGTTGCGAATTTTGAAGAGCTCGTCGAGCCGTACAGCTTTGCAAACTTTGAGGAAAGCATTCCGAACGATGCGCATTTTGCAGTGCAAGCTACCAGCAAGGTCAAATCTAATCTGGGAATCTAAGGAAATGTCACGGCTCGTACGTGCTGGTATCCCCGGTATCTGATCAGAAAGCGACGGAGTCTGGAAGTTTTCAACAACAAAAAGAACAGACCTCTACGGGCTGGTGGTGCCAAAGTGTTTGCTGCTTCACTGTCAGCCCATAATTCGTAACATTAAGGAAAGTTAAGGCATAAGAAATCCGCTCTTTCCTTTGGTGTTGTTCCATTGCACTGTGTTAGAGTGACTAGCTTCGGTTAAAAACTCACACCAACCTCTTTATCAATCAGATCCAAAACTAGAACAGATCGGACATTTTCCCGCGCCTGTGACTGTTAAGTGAGCTCATTCCCTAGTCATAAACTACACATCCTTTTCAGTGCACAATAGCTAGCTCAAATGCCTTAGATTAGTGCGCCAAAAAGTTATTGATAAAAAGCATTCGTAGCCACTACTGTAGAGTAAAAACTGCGTCATGACGATCAGTTATCCGAGAAATACTTCTAGTAAATGCCTCTCTGTGACTTTTGGTTTTGCCATAAGACAAACAATATGCTGTTCTTTTGTATCAGCACAACTCACCGATTTTGTGACCTAAAAAATTAAGATAAATCTACTCTCCCTGCGCCTTCAAAAATTAACATGGAGTAAAAATTTTCTCGATGGGTGCAGTTGAAGAATTTAACATGTAACTTGAGCCATACATATCTACCAAACGAGCGCCGTCACCTTTTTTTGATTGTACATTGAAGTCAAAATAAGGAAGAAACAATGAAAAAAAAATTTAAAGGAACCTCCTAGGAATCAACTTACTCCTGCTGGCCCCTTTGACGCGATCGTTACTCTGATTCTACTTTTTTAATACACTATGAAATAAGGAATAACAATAATCAAGCATAGTTCTTATGTAGAATTTCATTACTCAAAAGGGATGCACTCACCAGATTACAGACCTTTCAAAATCTTATTCTGAAGAAACTGGAACAACTGATACAAGTCATTCTTGTTCTGTCCGTCTACCCATATTATTTCTAACACCACAACATCACGTGACAAGTTACTAGCTATCTCGGCACCAGCTCCCACTCGCAAGGTAAACAACAAAAGAGGTCTGGACGCGTTTTCATCCTGATTTGAATCGTTTTTGACAGAATTCAATGGGTTGTAAGATTCGGGAAACAGGCTCTCACACGTTTCACCTAAGTCTGTTGCGTCGCTTTTAAATACTGTCCGCACTTTTGTTTCATCCGAAGTGTCTCGTATCGCAACCTCGTCCACACAACCTGATTGAGATTCCGATGTTTTTGCTTCAGGAGAAACTTTTCTGAGGTTCTCCCGCCGCTTTCTCCTCTGATGTGCCCAGGTCATCTCACAAGCGTGACATTGCAAAGCAAAGATTCCTTTGGATTTGTCCTCTTTTCCTTCCTCGTGTACAAAGACCTGCAGTTCAGATTTGCAACCAAAGTCGAATTTAACGTTCTAGGCCAAGGGTTCTTTTTGGTCACCTTTTTTCAGTTGTGAACTGTGATACAGTATACAAATGTCAGGCGGTTTTGAGTTCTATCGAATCTTAACATTCGACAATGGCAATGACAATGACAATGTGAACTGTGGTACAGTATACAAATGTAGGGCGGTTTTAAGTTCTATCGAATCTTAACATTCGCATCAAATCAACATTCGAGAACAAATCAGGAAACAGAGACATTCATGTACAGCTGTGGATCGCATTTCTTCTGAACACTGTTTTGATTCAATAAAAACCGGAAAACTTTCCTACTGACCTTCAACTCTATCAGTAATTTCTTTATGTAAAGTCCTATAGCCGTGACTCTGTCTGGTATCTGAGTTTCTGTCTCGCAACTTGCCGACGTGGCCATGAATTCATCAGGAATAACGAATTGAAGGGGTTTGGTCTTTTTGTTTCGTTTGCGACGCTTTGAGGGAATTTCCTGCGAGATGAAGATGAATGATAAAAAGCTAAAAAATACAAACTATTAATGAGAGGTCGGATCAATCTCTGCGAATTCGGTTTGAATTCCCTTTCATCCCGACCTAAACTGCGGGGGCGTGGTTAAGACATTTCAAAGAGGGGAGTCACAGGTATGAATTTCTGCGCTCCTTACATGAGTTGGCTTAAGCCGCTTTCTACCCTGTGTATCTGCGGGCTCGTATTCACGTGGGGAGATGGAACTAATAAAAAAAAAAAATTAATAAAGATTTATGCTGAGAAGATTCCTCGGATTCATGCGTTTTCACCACCTGAATTAAAACGTTTGTTTGTTATCGATAAAAAGAAGGGGGGGGGGGGGTTACCGTCACGTTACGATCCCATCCCTCCACTAGCCGCGCCCCCGAAGTGTCCCCTGGCCTCTACGGATTAAACGTCTCATAATTTTGAATACAAGGGTGGGAATCGTGATATACAAGCTTGCCTCTTTCCGAGACTTTTTCTTTTTGGAAGACACTGGACCCTATGACCCCTTAAGAAAGACTAGCTTTTAACCTCTCCTGACAGCATCAGTGTTGAGTCACACATCAAAGGCATATAACTACGTGAATGACCGGCCACTAACGAGGTTCTTAATTATTACAAAAACTCTTTGTCATCACCATAGGGACTGTATTAAGAACAGAGTGGAGAAAATGCATTCTGATGTAGGGGTGTAAAGGTTAAAACAAACATTACGACTTCAACACGAACAAAGTGTGTAATTCATGAAGAGTTCTGGTTTTAATCGACACATGCGCAATGTGGCGCTAGAATTACCCAGGGACACTGGACACCACTTAGTATCCTAGCGACCGATTGCAGATTCATCAACACAAGTTGATCGGCTTTATCGATCGCAAATCTTTTTTTTAGCTAAACGCACGGTTGACTAAAAACGTGATGCGCTAAGAGTCATTTTATGCTACCAATCATGAGAATGGTGTCAGTGCTCAAGCCGACTTTTTAGCAATTGGTGACCATTTCTGAACTATCTATGAATGTCATAACACACCTGGACTTTTACATCGGGTAAGAAGGACCAAGCCACACCCCAACGCATCGTGTGTCCCTGGCAAAACTCAGTTGTTATTGTTGTCTTGATCTGAAATCAGATACAAAGTTTGCTTTAATCCTGGAAACTAAGTTTGAGAAGATACCTATTTCATAGGTTTGTCATGATTTTTGTCCCAAACAAATCATGACGAACCACAAGTCTGATGTTGTGGTGTAGTGAATAACCACTTCCAAAGTAACCAATTCACAACCAAATATAACAAAATGGTCAACAGATATGAAATGTCAGTTGAGAAAGTGAAAAAAAGCATAGTTGATAATCAACTTACACCATTTTTGCTAAGACATGCCAGAACAGGAGCAACACTTGACTTCTTTCCAAGCATTGTAGTATACCAGCTAGCAAAAAAAAAGAATGTACAACTTACAATTAATCCTTAAATGGCAAATTAAGTGGCAGATAGTTTAAAATCCATTAGGAGGACAATGACCGGTTATTGCAACTGGTCAGCTCAATGCTTAGGTTTGCCACTCTTCTGAAAATTTCTTGTTGTACATCTAACATTGTCATAACAATTGACACAATAAAGGAGTTGGGAAAAGATGTTTTGTTGTCTTGTCATGAGCATGGGACAGACAAAAAAATTTCTGAATTCCCTTGAGGAATCAAACCTCAGACCTTTGGATTCTGCATTGTGATGCTCTACCACTGAGCTGCAGAGAATCTACGGAGAGCAAGGCCCATAAGCAAGTTCAAATATGATCTTTTTCTATTTCATTACTGAGCTCAAAACTTACCATCTCCTTATTCTATTTACAAAACAATAGAGAAGTTATCAACTGAGTGTTGTAAAAACAGAACTAAAGTAATGGCCAAAAGTACAAAGAGAAACTTTGCAAGAAGACAATGAGAACTCAAAGTAAAAACATGCAAACAATATAATGCTTGAGAAAATAAGATCACACAAGTTGCAGTAAGGTCTTACTTTTGCATCTCATTGCTTAAGAATTTTCTATGTTTTGTTTTGTCATCCTATATATTAACTCTTTAACTCCTGTGAGTGACTAAGACAGAATATCTCCGTACTATGTCTATACAATATCATGCAGACAAGTGAAGAGAATAAAGAAAAATATCAATTATGTGATTACTAATTGATCCAATACCAAATTCTCCAAACTAGCATAATGAGAATCATTTGGCAGACAGTAAAGAGAATTACTACAGAGGTCCTGGGAGTTAAAGGATTAATACTCTTCATTACCTTAACTTAATATTTACAATAAATATATGTATCACTCAGAGAATGGTATTAGTTCTCCAGCCCTTCTTCTCTTTATTTATTCTTTCAGCAAATGTATTCCTCTTATACATTTTTACAATGGCATAAATACGTAAATAAATCAATAAAATGCGACACAAGTAATTTTGATTAGTTATGATGCTTATTGAATCAAAATGGATGTAACCGTTAGAGTATTATCTACATTCAATTTAAAATTCTCCAACCCTTCAACAATAATATTATAGCTTTAATGCCCATTTCATATATTCAAATGTTTGCCATCTATGGTAATCCAATCTAAGCTTGGTCCCCTGAACGACTATATGTTCAGTAGTGTTCATAGCTGCAAGGATCTCTTATATTTGTTTCTTCACTGCAGTGCACATATATGATCTTTGTATATATCTACAATCATTATTCATCACTCGGATGGTTTATTTAGACCCAACATATTGACCAGCTCCCAGTGGGCTTGTTAACTCAGTTGGTAGAGCACTGCACCTCTGCAATACCAACATCTAAAGGACATGAAGGCTGCCATTTCAATGTATACCAGTATTTTGTAAAATATGTCAGCAAAATTTTGTAAGATGTAAATAATAAACCTGATAGACTTTTTTTCTCTAAATAATTTACCCCTGAATACAAAAAGCAACCACAATCTCATTACAGTAAACTTGATAGCCTCACAATTAACATAACATGGTAACTATTTACAGTATATAGTAATGACATAACTTAGCAAACACAAAATGTATTACGTTACCTAAAATGTTCCTTCAGAAGCAAACTATCATTGATGATTCCTCTGACAAATTCTACCTCACCCCCTCCAGTCACAATTTCAGTTTCTGCTCCAGTACATATCCCACTAGGCTGGGGACGTTTTTCACTGCGTGTATTGCCATAAGATGCCTCAAAATCACTGATAAAGAAAGGTGGATTGCACATACAGAAATCAAACTCTTTTATCTCCTCATCTTCTAAAGGTATTTTTAGAAAACTGCCTTGGGTTACTTGTTTCACTGCAATAAGAGGATGGCAAATATTAAACACCGTTAGCTTGACACAACTCTCAAGAAAATTCTATGCAAAGTTGTACTCATAATAGTGGGATTCTATGGGTCATTAGAGAATATTTGTATTTGCGACATATTTGGAGTCCCAGTGGTAGCCAGTGTCAGGACCGAGGAGGGTACTTCTTCCCCCTTTTAAAAGTGAAACTGGAAGTCGTAGGCAGAGCCTAAAGTTTAAGCCTTTAACTCCCATGAGTGACTAAGACAGAATTTCTCCTTACAATATTAATACAATTTCAAGTAGACAGTGATGAGAAAAAAGAAAAATATCAATTAGGCAATTATTAGTTGATCCAATACCAAATTCTCCAAATTAACATCAAAAGAACTGTATGGTAGACAGTAAGGAGAATTACTAATGAGATCTGGGGAGTTAAAGGGTTGAAGGAATTTCAGTCAGGAGAACTAGAGTATTTCCAATTTCCTTCACTTCCACTTATCATCTTCCAAGAAAAACTAACAAACTTTCCACATAAAAGCTGATCAGGGAGTAAACCTCTTTTGTAAATAACAACCTACCAATCAGTCAATCAATCAATCAAATCCTTTATTTTAAAATGACAATTGCTAAAGCCGTAAAGCTTGTGGGGTCGTTTAAGCATACTCCCTATTTTTTCATATTCATATAAATTAACCCTTTAACTCCCAAGATCTGATTGTTAAATCTCTCCTCCAGCTGCTACACATTTCCATGTAAATTAGTTATGAGAATTTGGTTTTCAATCAAGATAATATCTTGTACTTGATAAGTTGGGCTAATCTCACTACCTGATTGTTGGATAATGCATGGATACTATTGGGAGATGTTACATGTCAATCACTTCTAGGAGTTAAAGGATTAACCTTTCTGCCAGAGAACAAATTAAAGAATTTCCATGCAAAAGCAAGGCCATGAAGGCTTTGTTTGCATACACATGAAATATCATATCATATATCATATCTATAGATGCAATATTTTGTCCTACCTTCTATGTTCCCTTCAAGGCCATTACATTTCACATTTTCCTTTGCAAAAGAAACTGACAATTCATCCACCTCAGTTGCCAGGAAATGCCAGTTGTTAAGTTTAGCTCCCAGCAAAGCATAAATACAGGAAGCCCCTGAGCCTGATAAACAAAAGTATACCCTACAACTCTAGAAGTGATTAACATGTAACTTCTTCCTATAAGATCCATACATTAATCAGTAAACAGGTGATGCAAATACTTCAACTTATCCAGTAGAATTTGTTGTCTTGATCCAACACCAAATTCTTGTAACTTAAGTTTGTAAGGAAATGAGTGGCAGGGAGAGGAGAGAATTGACAAAGAGATATTGGCAGTTAAAGGGACAAATGTCTTTTTTTGACACTAAAACCTAAAATACAAAAATTATGTGAGCAACAAACAATAAACAGATCCAAAATCCTAACGAATGTCCTCTCATTTTACTGTTGCATAAAAACACAATTGGGAAACATTTCAGTATAACCCCATAATATTCTAAAACAAAGCCATAATCTCAATAGTTATCTCCTGTTTACTATTATAATATTGTTTCTTTTATCCAAAACTGTATACATAACCTTTTTACCCCTAAGATCTTATTAATAATTTTCTTTACTGTTCTTCATACTTTTCTAATAATGGTGGTTTGGAGAATTTGGTTTGAGATCAACTAATAAATGCACTAATTGATATTTTTCTTTATTCTTATCATTTGCCTGCTTGCTATTGTATTGATATAGGGAAGGAAGAATTTTGTTTTGGTCACTTATGGGAGTTAAAAAAGGAGAATGAAGTATGGGGTTGTGCGTAAAAGTTCCTGAAGACTATATCAAAGTCGTTTTTTGATAAAGCCATACTTAAGAACACTTCAAAGTCAACATCCAGTGCACTAAACATTTTCCAAAGTAAGCTTTTAGTAAACATTTTGCCTAGGCATTCCTAAAATATTCATGCTCTGGATCTCTGTCAGAATCTGAGCAACTGGCACACCAACCCCAACCCTAACCCAAAGTGAGCCCTAAGTTGTTATTAGTTGACTGTTGTTGAGTTAAGGGTAGGGTACCAAATGAACGCATTGATTATCAACTGTTACGAAGATTGCGTGACACCAATTTTGTGTGAAGTCTCGGTAAAATTACTGAACCAATCTTGAAAGTGAAATTTCGTTCATCCCTCTTATATTAGAGCTTATATAAGTACTTAAATTAACACACACTCAGAATATCGAACGCTTCAAGCCTTACCAATGTCAAAACCACGCACAACTGCGCGACGTTGGGCGACTGGAGCACAGGCGAGTAAATCCTCAATCCAGAGGATGTAGTTAAGACGCAAAGGAACGGTAGGTATCAGTCGATCCAAAGGAATGCTGAGTTTTAAACCAAAATCACTCTCTAGCAACGCACAGGTCAAAGCGCGCAGTGATTCTGGATCTTTGAAGTTTATACTGAATTCCCCAGCTTTGTTCTCCTTTGCAAATTTACGAAAGTACTCAAATTTATCGGCAAGAACCCTGAAGTCAGGAGGAGAATTTTTGTAAGGGTTTCTTGGGTGCATGTGATCATTGAAGCCCATGCTTAGTCAATACATTTAGGCTATCAGGTCAAAGCATTACAGAATGTTGAACCATTTTCGTTTATCGCCACCTCACCGCTGAGACTTAACATTAGTTCCCAGATTTCTCGGTTGCAGAAATCTAACGGTTGATTGAGCATGGGCTCTAATGCACAGGGTCCCAGGAACCTCTGGTAATGTGCTAAATCGTCACGGTTGGGACGCCTCAAAAATGTTCCTGAAATTAATTCATAAACGACCACACCATGATCAATTTTCCATAATAGATTTCATCACCACATGAAGAGGCTCACCGTGGGAAGTTCCCTAGAAAAAAGCAAACCTCGTTCGCTGGAATTCTAAGTTGAAATGTTTTCTTATTTATCGCATTGTTCAGTACTCTGAGGCATACCTTGTCACGTATATGGACTCGATCGTTTAGACTGTGTAAAATCCATGGAGCTGAGAACCAAACCAGTCTGCGCCAAATGAGGGAGTGTCCCCCTTCGTGAAAGAGAGAACCACTTGATCAGTTTGTGTTCTGAAATATGAAAGAGAAACAAAAGTTAAAGATCCGAGGAAGAGTTTTGACTCTTTGAAATCAAATGATGTTGATGTGTCGTTTGTATTTGCTCACGGACGGATTCCAGGATTCTCTCCTGACTGATCCCCACACGGGATAATCCAAAAACGGCATAATCCAAAGTTTTTTTGAGACCCAACACCTATATTAAGCGTATTAAAAATCGTATTTAGTTTACGGTGTTATGCGATGTGCAGTGCACCAAATCCAGATGTAGCAGATGTTACTTCCCCCCCCCCCCCCCACAATAGGGCTCCGTAGTTATGTTCATGTAATTCCTCCAGGTAAAAGTACTGTGATGGCTGCGGAAACAGTGCAGTAAAATACATAACTATCATGCTTTTTTCTGTGTGATCCCTTAACGCAAAGATTACATTCAGGGTCAAGTGAATAGTTGTTGTGTTTCCTCAGCATGAAGCGATGAAGAATACACTACTCCCCCCCTAAATGAGATGCTGATCCATTGCAAGGTTACCCTCCAGCATTTGATCAGGCTCCCCTGACAATTATTCACTTTACTCCGATGATAAATTCCGCTCAGGTTGTCGAAACGTCAGTCACCACTACCGACAAAAGTCCTTCTCAGAACTACACTCACCCGGACGATCAAATTACACTATTACACGCAATTTTTTTTTAGAATGAAACGATGAAATTGACAGATACGACAACTGAATTACTGAGATATGCTCTTGGTGACATTGAAGAGCTTTTTTCTGCAGAGTTAGAGGAATCATCGACGAGTATAACGGCATGTCTCAAGAATGTTCTTCAATCGACTTCGAGATCGAATAGTGAAAGCGGATATTCCAAGGAAAACACCATAACTCTCACTGAGAAGGTATAAAAGCGAAAACTTCAACCGGGTATCCTAAGTAGTTCAAGATTGCAATCGTTTTGCGTAGCCGAGCTTTGTGATTGTTCTAGAAAATTCACACCATCATTTTGATTGATCATTTGCAATCATTTTCCCACACTTCAGGACCTTTAGGCACTTTGCTGGATTTTGATTTGTCTAGAAAACTCGCGCCTTACTTTTTACCAATGAATCTCCACGTGACTCCCATTTTCCTGCGCCTAAGGCATAACGCTCGCTTTTGCTCCAGCTGAGACAAACGCGAAGTGCACCATGGTCGCAATGGAAAAAAGATAGAAAAGTTAGTGAGCAACAACATTAGTTTTCATCAATTCTTGAGCCGTATTTAAGCGCCACTTGAAGCCTTTGGCTATTCTACTCAATCACCATACATCTGCATTTGTTCCTGATAGCGTAACAGTCACTAATGACTTCATCTTATCCTACTACTTCCCGCTCAAGTCTCACAACAGTTACTCCGATAGGAAAATACGAGGTCAGTTTACTATTCGTAGCACAACAACAAATGAAGAGATATCAGTTTCATATCATAGCGTATCATTGCACAAACTATCCTGCTAAAACCCTAGGCACACAGATGACCATCATGTTGCCTATAATCCGTACTAATTCCATGATCGACGAATAAAAACACTGGTGTTTGTGATCGAATAACAAGGTAGAAGAGTATTACTGCATTGGAAACTTCAGTAAAAGAAGAATATTTATTTATCGGCCATAGCTGTTTTGTGAAAAAAAAGCCTTTCTGTAAGAATCTGAGAGATAAATATTTATTAAGAAATACTTCATCTGAACTCTTTTCCGCTGCCTCGTTTGTCATGACGTCAAAAACTATGCTCTCTACTATCTCATTGTCACATTGTTGTTAACAAAATGAACACATAACGGTTAAAAAGATGAAACGTATGGACCACGTGCAAAGCTGTCAATTGTTTCTCGAATATTGCGCGTGTTAAATATTCCATAGTGACATCTCATTTACATCTACAGCTACATCTACTTTTACTAAGTTGGTAAATTCTGTTTTAGACATCACACCAACTAACTCGTGCGCAAAATGAAAAGACTATATGAAGGCTTGAAATTATATTAAGAACGATTGTGATCAAGAAACGGGCAAGGAATATTCCATAATAGTGCAAATAATCGTGAAAGAGAATCGCGGAAAAGCGACTGCGTGACGCTCGGTAAGTTGTAAGATGACTTGTTATCTCGTACCAGACGAAAAAACAGCATAAATTCTCAGTCTGCAGTCTGTATTTGTACTTAGTCTGCATTCTGTACCCGGTCTGCAGTCTGCAGTCTGCATTTTTTACTGACCGGGTTGGTATTGCTGTTTTTGTTCGAGCGAGCCTCAAGTCCAGACCGAAATATTGGAGCTCGAAAAAAATTTTACTGAGAGTATCTTGGCCGCTATGATTGATGTGTGGACTTTATGTTGAAGAGCTCCTGAAGAAAAGCACAATGATAAAGCAATGATTACTTTGTACCAATTGAAGACGAACGCAAATACGTGGCTTACCAATATGGCTGCCTCTGATGCTCTTCCGCGTGGTCACAGCTTGTGTTGAAATGAACCCGCTACGGGTCCCCTAGGTGTCAACATTTCGGCTTCTCGATGCAAGTTGCATTTTTAGAAGTTCGGAATTGTGATTTGAAGTTATTATCTTTATTAAACCATAAAAACAATTTATTTCTTTCCACGTGAGTTTCTGAGCTTCATCGAAATTAAGTTGACTTTCACTAAGTGGGGAGGGGTAGCATGCGAGACTACTTCCGTTCACGGTCCACAATGCAACTTCCGTCAACATCTGCTTCACCACAATACCTCATCGATTGCTTTCAGCACGGTCCACAATGCAACTTCCGTCAATATCTGCTTCACCACAATACCTCATCGATTGCTTTCAGCATGAATGGCCTTAAAAAGCGCGCACACGTTATGTTATGAAATTCAGCTGTTTTGTTCTCTTAGCAAAACGTCTATTAAATAAATAATTCAATTCTCAGTCCAAACTTTTGCCGATAATCTTAAAAAGCTTTGACTTGATTTCTTTGTGAGTGCTATTTGATGGAGGATTTCTTGCTACAGTATGAGAATGACTGTTTCTTGAGATGGAAATTTTGAACTCAGACTTCATCTTGGAGAAGAGTATATTTACACGGAGCGATTATCAAAGAAGTCGAAAATGATAGTTGTGGTAAATAATTTTTTTCAAACTATCATTTCAATTAATAACATGAATTTTATTCCAACTTGTGAATGATATCAAATAACGAGCTGACAGTCCTACGTGGCCTATGTGAGCGTCACTAGAAAACATCATAGAAATAAGGGCCTTCATTTGTAGTTCTCGTAAGAAAACCAGCAGTTCGTTAATTATTAATTCAAAGGATAACGTTGGTAATTAGTCAGCTAGAGAACTTTAACGTGAGTTAACTCCGCCGAAAATATTAGGTTTGTCACTCTCTTCAAAGACTGTTTTCACAATTTACGGCTTTCCGGTCCACTTACGATAGTAGTTTCTCATGCAAATGAACTCGGGTATGCATGCCTGCTTCGTGTTCCTGTTTACCAAACAGTCAGTCTCTCTTATCACTTATTAATGCTATTGAGTGCTCCAAATTACGCAATCATCCTCGCAGGTAAGCTGTAGTTTACGCAGTTGTAGAAAAATTTAATCATTTCGATGGGCGCTGCTATCAACTGAGCTACGAAGCCACACATCGGAAGCGGGGCAAGTTTTAACGAGGGTTCTTCTTTTCCGTGAAGGAATCTGATCAATATCACGTGTTCTGTTGGATTGTCCTTGCATCAGCTATTCTCATAGTTTATTTTCTCTTTACCAACGTGACGACTTTAGTCTTCTAATAAATATTTAGCTGGATTTTTATTACTTGCCTTCAGCAATATGCGTTAAATGTCTGCAACACTGATACCATATCTTCCTAAATAGGCTCACCAGGTTTTGCCCCGAAGCACAAAACAAACGTAAACATTTCATTCAGTTAGGTAAACAACGACCCGTTTTAACTTTTTTATTTCCAAGCGCTGATTTCAAATTGAACTGAGTCCGTTTTTCTTTCCAATAAATTCACAGACTTGTAAAAATCAAAGTGATGTTGTGCTATGCACATTTTTGCGTCTTCCTATGAGAATATTAGAAAATGTTAAATAATCAAGCTATGGGGGTGAGCCAAGAGATGAACACAATATTTTAATTTTTTTTCTTATGGAGAAATACTGAAAAATTTCCTCTCCTTGCGGTTACACTTTCAGTAACATAGGCTGTGCGGACATGAATTGGCTATTTCACTCCTCCATATAATTGAAAAATACTTTGATATTTCATCGTAGAGCTATCAAAACTCTAACCTTGATGAGGCCGAAAATGACTTTTATCTCATGTAGTCCCAAAATTAACAGACTTTTATTTTTACTTCCAACTGTGATTCAATAAAGTCAATTCTGTTTGCTAATGACCCCCTAGGAACACAAACTATAACCAATCTACTGCCGAGCACTTCCTCTTGATAATAAATTATTCATTGAGGATTTATCCGAAATACTAGCCTATTATTTTACTTCTGAAGGGCTCTGGTTAAGAATCCATAACCTCTGGTGCGTGATGCAAAAGAAGACACAAAATTCCTCTACAGTCATACCTAAGAACGGCCGATCTGCTAATCAGTTATATGGATGCTTGACATTTTACTAATACAAAAAGCAGGTCTGAACAAAACTATAAGAGGATATGCAAGTTTTAACGTCATTCTCAACATTCAAGGTAAGTTGACTGTTTTAAAATGTTCTTGAACGAGGCTAAAGGTTTAGAAATACGCCTTTGATGGCCATCAGAGTTTCAAAACGTCGACCAACACGAAAGCGGTGTTCTTGTCTCATATGGATGGAGTGGAACAAACACCATATCCGGCCAAGGATAACGTTCTGTTTTTCTCATCTTTTTTTTAAGAGAGAGGCTCTTCTGATTTTTATCGGAACTTGGATAGCGGTGATTAAAGCTGAAGGTACGTTTAAATTTTGATAATTGAAGCAAAACGTTTTGATATTACTTTTAAGGGAAAGGCATTTGTCAGAAACATAAGTTGAGATTTGTTATTTTTGTGCCTTAGTTACCTCGTTATTTACTTTGTTACATATTTCATGTCAGCTTTGTTCTGCAGGTGTCATGAAAACATCTCAAACGTTTTCGCTCTTGAGGACGTCCCGGTGATCAAGCTCGGAAGTAAAAAAAAATACCTCTCGGATTCAGTTTCGTAAAACCAAATTATGGTACATAATTCAGCCAACCATGAAAATAAAGAGGTTTTCGATTGAGAGTCGTAAAACCAAAACGATAAACTTCAAACTGCCTAAAGCGCGGGAAAACGCTGGCGACAACGTTTAATTTTGTTTCTGATTGGTTGATAGAGTGGCGCGAGTTTTCTGGACCAATCACAGTGCAAAGTAACGCAGAAACAAAGCAATCCCGGATTGTTTTTGACACTCAATTGAAAATTTTCCCATCGGGAGGAGCCAATTAGAACTCAAATGTAAAAATAAGCGCTATGTCTGAAGCGCGGGAAAATGCGAATTACAAAGGCTCGGCTGGTTTTGGTTCTGCATCTTATTGATTAGGAGAGTGGTATAAGTCTTTTATACCAATAACAAAACGAAATTGAATAAAACCAATATAATTCTGTAAAACTTTCCACCCTCAACTGAAAATTGATTCAAAAGAAGAAACACTTATTTAGTATTAAATAGTTAGGTATAGCCAAAACATTACTTCTTTAAATATCACAGCATGGCAGCCGACTCATCAAACCAAAAGACGTTACAATTTTTGTTTTAAATATTTTGGTGAAAAGGAGGTTTGGAGGTGGATTTTCAGTAAATAGCGTCATCTTGCCTAAGAGCTATATATGGTCTTGGGTCACTTCAGCTCAAGCTGTACTGATTATAAGTAAAACTATTTAATGAAAAAGCTAAACATTCCCACATGACAATAGAGCAACAAACTAATTATTGGAAGATGCTTGCGTAAGGATTAATTCGACCTATAATTTGAAGAAGCTAGTTACACTTACATTTTACGATCGGGTGGTGGGCGCATTGCCAAATTTTACTTCATTTCATCTCTGATAGACCAAAACGACCTCCTAAACACATACTTTTTTTTTAGCACAAAATACAAGAGTAAATCAGCTAGCTTAAACTCAAGAAGGACATCTCTTCCTGGTATACATTAAGTATCATGCACAAGCGCTAAATTTGATTTTCAACCGTCAAATTGGAAAAAATTCGTCAACCTTGAAAGCTGCTCCCCCACTGAAATGCTCCAGACTAACTCGGACGTATTGGATTACTTTTTCAACAGAGCCTTCTATCCCATCAGAATGTATCACTTACAACACATTAAATGATTCAAGCCGATACTGGGGCACAAGGGGAAACAACAAATGCGACCAACATCTGGTCAGCGGCCACTGGTATCGCTTCATGGGGGCTGCTGGCGTGATGATGGCTACTTATTGTATTCCACAACAAAGTTGCGACTCTTATATTTCTGGCTGGATCAGTGGCCATCATCCCAACAACGCTTTCGAGAAGGTCTCGGGATCAGCTTGCATGCATTATGGCTTAGACTGCTGTTATTATTCTTACAACATTGAAATTCGTAACTGCAGTGGATATTACGTTTATGCACTACCGTCCACCACTCAACAATGTAATGCACGGTACTGCGGCGTCAACGGTACGTGATTTCACTGCGCCCCCTTGCTAAGCTATAATGATAACGTCTAAAGTTTTCGAACACGAAATTAAAATTTTTGCTTGACACGGAGTGTTTTTAGTGTGAGGGTGGCGATGGAGTCAACCGATAGCAGCCATAAAAGGCCAAAATAATTGAACCTTTGGTCATAAAAAAGTTAATCGCAAAAAATTTTTCTGCTGAACGAAATTGAAAAAAAATTAACATTTAGCCGTAAAATCTATTACCCCATTGAGACCCCCTAGTATTTGCATGGACATGAAGGCACACTTTTGAAAACATACACATAGAAAAATGAACGATTATAATAACAATAATAATAATAATAATATGGTAGCTAATTAATTAAAAAAAAGATTGTGAATTTTAAGCGAGGAAACGAAATTAAGAAGAATGTTGCCCCAAGCGTATGACAAAAAATAATTCTGAGTCCCCATGCAAAATCGCACCTCAGACCTAAAGATTTCGCGCTCTGAATTCTCTACCTCAGATCCATGGAGAAGCTACCATGAGCAAGGCCATCACTAGGCTCGTATGCTGCACGCGTCACATGAGTAAATGGAATATGAAAGATGATGAATTTTAAGCTCGAAAATGAAATGAGCTCGTAACAAAAAAAAGAAAAACGATATTTTTTCTTTTCATTTCTAAACTTTAAATTAATGACTAAAAGACCACAACACAACAGTCATTTCCTCTTGAACAGATGAGAATGATGCTTGTCCAGTCATTGCGGGCTCAACGGAATGTTCCTGTCCATCAGGCTATTCGGGTACACCATGCCAAGGTGAGCTAGTTATTAGTCTTATTGTTTGCAATCAAAACTACAACAAAATTTTCGAACGCGATTGTTTATCACCAGCCCGATTTGATCACTGATGGGACAGTGTACGCGTCATGCTTGTAATTGGATAACGTAATAAGACAGTTAAAGGGAAAGTTGACACGTCATGCCTGTGTAAGTGGACAGAACGCGTCATGTGCGCGCGCTGTTGTCTCGCATTTCTCTGAGTTGATTGTTGTTGTTGTTTTTCATATATATATAAACGTATAATCGATGTCTAATTTCTATCTCAAATTTTGTCATAGTTTTGATTAATATGTAACAGGACTTTGTGCCGTCCAGTTCTGTCCGTAATCATACTCGTGATTAACAAATCGGACTCCCGCTTCGTGGTCGTCCGATTTTGTTAATCACTCGAAGGATTACAGACCGAATTGGACTCCACCCGGTTCGATTAACATGATTAAGTAGACCAAGACCAAAGTAATCACATCAGCCAATCAGAGAAAGAAAAACACCACCTGGGTTTCATGGAGAAAACAACCAAACTGCCTGAAGCATCAGGCGGACCCGGAAAACGCGAGTGACCGAGTTGCGATTGGCTGATTAGTTCTACACCTAGTGGGATAAGAATGAGGTGCGAGTTTCAGCTTTGACCAATCATAAAGAGAAGTAAAGCAAAACCAAAGCAACCTTCAATTACTCTCGACTCTGAGTTGAAAATTAGTTTATCGTAACCATCAAACTAGAGCCTGCAACCCAAGAGGGGGAACTTCCCTATTATGACTTAACGGGTATGTGACACCAAATAGATTACAGTTTTCAGGATATACAACGTTTTCATTTAGTGTTTTGAAAAAGGTGTATTTTTGGACAAAAAGCCTTCAAAAAGGCTTTTAAGAGAACGTGGCGATCTGCAGCATTTAGGTGTGGTTCTACTGCAGGTTTTGAGTGAGATTCGAGAGAAATTCTGTACTAACACGGCTCCCCTTAGTCGACATGTCACAATGTAAATAATTTCTTTTATCAAACAGGTTAGGGAAATCAACAAATTTGTAATGATCAGGGTCAAGGGGTGAGAACCTTAGTGATACACCCCCCCCCTTGTACTCCCTCAACGCTCTCTCTCCCAGGGGGGTGTTTAAAAGAGATCCTTAAAATGAGGTCACACTTTACCTTCCCTTTGTTCTTGTCATTGCTGATTCTCCCGTTTGCTGACATCTTGGAATAACTGCATCTTTTGTTTCCTTTAAATCTTTATGGTAGACATTGATGAATGTACGGCGAATTCCCACAACTGTCACTCCCACGCAACTTGCAACAATACCCTCGGTTCTTTCAATTGTTCTTGCAACGATGGGTATTCTGGAGACGGTGTAACTTGTAATGGTAAGAAATGTCCATAAGCTCTTAAAAAAAGAAATAAAACGTGCGGCAGAAAATAGCAGCACGATCTCCTTGATAAAATGCTTTCATCCATATTCCTTTCCATAGCTTTATTTCTTTTTCCTTCTTACATCAACCACACTGCTTAGTCGCTGCAAGAGTGTGGGTCTAAAATCGCTGAATGGCTAATTTCCAATTTAACTTCTCCACACCGCGTTAAAACGTTATGAGGAAAAATGCTGATATGAAGGAAGAAAAACAAATTTTCAGACTTCAAACTAAAACAAATGTTTTGCAGTAAGGAAAATTGATGTAGAGAAAATGGAAGTAAGGGGTTGGTTTACTGGACAAACTGAGAGTGGTGCTTATCTTGAGAATAGAAAAGCGAACCATGGCAACAAGCAGATAGGGATTAAAATTTTCTTGCAATCATCAACCACTGAGCTCATTGATTTGATGATCGAAGAGAAAAGTCAGCTCTTCTTACTGGGAAAAATTTTTAATGAAGTCAATAAAGAAGAACTCGTCGGTTGGCGAAATAATTACAAACCAATTCAAGCACAAACAGATCCGATTTGTTTAGCCACAGAATACACCATATCTTGGTGTTCAGCATAGTAGAAGTTTCTTCAACACAACTGACACGCGAATGATAATTTTATCAATCACGCTATGTTTCTTCATCTCCTTCTCATCATCATCATTTCACTGAGAAACGCTCGAAATAAATATTTATGTCAATATCTCTTGTGATGATCTCAGATATCGATGAATGCACAAACCACACTCATGACTGTCACCAAGCGGCAATTTGTACCAACACTGATGGTGCGTTTATTTGCAGCTGCAAGGAAGGATTCTCGGGGGATGGTCGACAGTGCACAGGTGTGATAACTCTACGTTCTCTAAGTGAAAGGCCAATTAGATAATTTGAAATACAATAAATATTACTTTTAAAGAGGATTATCATGGAAAAAATATTCCTTTTGGTGAGCTGTCCTAAGACCTTGCACTTGGTGTCAGTAACACCAAAATTCGAAAAACTTTTCGTAAAACCGCCCTTTTGCGTTTCTGTTGTTTAGAACGCACCATGAACATTTTCGCTCAGGACGGTGATCCAAAGAGTCTAAAACAATTTCATGGGACAGTTTGCAACGTTTTAAATACTCTAAAAGCATCTTAAGTTATGTACACGAATTAATGCCATATTTGACTATTGCAGATATTGATGAATGCACAGCTGCAACTCCCAACTGTCATTCGAAAGCGAATTGTTCTAACACTCTAGGTTCTTTCGTCTGTGCCTGTTTTCAAGGATATTCAGGAGATGGTGTTAATTGTACCGGTGAGATGGTTTTTTCAAAGCTGATCTTAAGCTTGATGCATGTTTGTCGTGCGTTGCTGTAAGGTATTTACACTTTGCAAATCGCCCGGGACGTCCACGATTAATTCAATTGTGCAAGTATTGTGCATGTCGCTACAGTCGAAACTGCATTCAACAACACAGTGTTAAGCGATCTTTTGTCAAAGTCCCGAAAATTTTACTCCTCAATTACTGTTATTTTAACCTCTGTTAAGCGGTCACCTCTGTGAAATCAGTCCCAAAAGCCTTTTTGTATTGTTCTCCACCCGTATTGAACAGTCACTTAAAGCGGAACCAGTCAAATAAAACTAAGAGTAATCAATGAATAGAGGATGTCAGTTTCTATAGAAACTGTGGTGCTGCGTCAGTGGGAGGGTATAACAGGGTAATTTGGTATTATCAACTGATTTGAAAACGTAAATTGACCACCGTGAAGAGTTTCAAAGCTGACGTTTCGAGTTCTGATGAGGGCAAACGCTCGAAACCTCTGCTTTGAAGCTCTTCACGGTGGCCAATGTATGTTTTCAAATCAGTTGATAATATCAAATTAGTCAAGAATAATCAATTTTACATTATTTACAAAGCTTCGTTCTGATTAATCGCTGGGATAACTTGCGGGTTTTGTTTTACGGCACTCGGTTGAAAACTGCACTTTCTATCAGCCCAGAAACTGAACTTAGCTTGTTCAGTCAAGATGAGTTGATATTCAGTAAAGTTTTACAAAAAGATTTATTCCATCTTGTGTGTTCCAATTCATGCAGCGAGATCACGCAGAACTAAAGAATATAAAATGCGCGTACATCCAGCTTTAGTTGTTTGTGCTAAAAACGAAACATGAAATCTAAGTGCAAGTCTATTAGCCAATTTAACAGTAGCTTTTCGCCATACCTAAACGTTCGTAATGTACCTTTGGCTTCATAATGGCCAAGAACTGTAAAATGCATTCCTGCAGATATTGATGAATGTGCCACGGCAACCCACAACTGCAATGGTGTAGCTCACTGTTACAACAATAATGGCTCCTTCACCTGCAAGTGTAGGACAGGTTATCATGGTGACGGGCTCTCTTGTAAGCCCTTAGGTAAGTGGACATTTATACCAATTTATATCAAAAGGATGAGACACACCGTCATTTATGCTTAAGGATGTATCTTCGAGACAGAAAATCTTCTCCTCGTAGACTCAACAGATCAAGATCCAGGCTAGGTAGTCTCGTACCCAGACTTTCCGGCGACTGCGCGTCATTTCAGGTAAACAGTAAAAATCTGGGTTCCAAATTAGGGCTAAAGTAAAGTACTCACGAAAAGCAAACATTTGTTGCGCTCTTCAATAATATGCGAACTAAGGAGTTGAAAATACATCATTGAAATTGTTTTTCTTGTTGCCGTCGATTATGTTAAGGGCCTCTCGAAAAACATGCACTCTGTATCAAAATTCATTTTCCTGGGTTGTGATAGATAGATGTCCTTATCCTGATTTACCATATGTAACTTAATTATTGGTCTTCTAAATTATCTTGAATCTGTCGCAGATTCAGTTCCTATATACGCCTGAACTTGATGATCTTTTGCACATAGGAGACTTCTCTGTAGCGATAAGAAACATCTCCAAGGACAAATACAAGGCAACTGTTATAAAGCGTTCTGAGAAAAGTGTCTATCAGGCTAATATTGCAGGACTACGAGATGATGTATCTATACTGGAAAGCATCATGGAATGGCGCTTAATTAGCGAACGGGAGCTGGAATTTTTTGAGTCACCAAATGGAACATTAGTCAGTCAAGGAACAACACAATGGACCATAAAAAGGCGATCCATTCTGGCTGGCATCTATCAAGTCAAATTCACTGCTTCTATCACAATTGGGGATCTAGATGCCTCACAAATTCTCACTGCTTTTGACTATGGTTTTATAGAAGTTGTCAAAGGTCCTGTACGAGCTATAATCGACGGAGGAAGCAAAGTTCGCTGGTCGTCGAGCAAAGCTGTTACAGTGGACGGTTCACTTAGTTACGACGCGGATATTGGACCCGGAAACCACACTGGAGTTAACTTCACCTGGTCTTGTTATGACCCTGTAAAAAACTTCTCCTTCAGCAATGATTGTTTCGGGTCTTTTGTCGGAGAAAGTAACTTAACAGCAGTAAGAATTGATCCTAAAAGACTTACATTTGGTAATAAAACCTACGTTCTCAGGCTGACTGTGTCTAAGGATGATAGAAGTGACTTTGCGGAAATGTCCTTTGAGATTGCCGCTAACGAAATACCTCAAATCAGTCTAAGGTAAGTACCAAGATTTGAACATTGAAACCTGTACTAAACGGCATAATCCAAAGTCGAGATTTGTCTTCTATTATATCAAAACGAAACCTATAAAAATAAAGAAGCTGAACTCAGCTGACACTCCTTTAGTCAGATCTGGAGACCAAGATTGAATGTTTTTTTTAGACCCAACACCTATATTAAGCCTATTAAAGATCGTATTTAGTTTACGGTGTTAGGTGTTGTGCAATGCACCAAAACCAGATGTAGCAGATGTTACTTCCCCCCTCCCCACAATAGGGCTCCGTAGTTATGTTCATGTCATTCCTCCTCATTGGTTGTTAACTGGCAGTCAATTTCCTATAGTCCCTCTGTAAACTCTGTTGGCGACGACTGATCCCCTTCCGTTTCCTTTACCCCTCCCCCTCCCCTCCCCCACGCGACAAATATCGATCGGTACCTAATGCCTCTTTTTTCGTTTAAGGTGTTTTGTCGACTGTGGCGCAATTGTGTCGGCTTCTAACAAGCTTCGAGTAACGTCAGAATGTCTCAATTCGCCTTGCAATGGTTCAGAGTACAGGTGGCTTTTAAATAGAATGGATTTGCATTCCAATCGGTGGGAACCAGTAACTAATTTATCCAACATGACATCAACTGCAATAAATGCTACCAACATGATCATTAGAAAGAATTCTTTGAAGTCGAATTCCAAATATAGCTTGGCTTTATTTGCAACATCGCCAGGAGGAACAGAGGGGTTTGCAGTGCTCGAGTTTGAGACCGCTGGACAGCCGCACAGTGGGTACTGCAGGCCATCAGCCGTAGAGGGCGTGTCTATGGAGACGGAGTTCTTATTTGAATGCTACGGTTGGCAAGATAAAAGTACACCGCTGACCTATGAATTTCGCGCTGAAGAAGATCCAATTTCTTACGGCATTTCTTCAAAGTCAGTGACGACAGTTTTACCTTCTGGCTCACCTGAAAACGATTACAAATTAACAGTCAATGTCATCATCAAGAATGCTGTTGGGGTGGCTGTTGTTGAGAAATTTGCCGTAAAGGTAACGATACAAATTTATGGCCCTCTTTGACTCTTTTAAGATAAGTTAGTTAATATTTGCCTTTATAAAATAACTCAAATAGTACGCGCGCTCTGATTGGCCATAAAACCATTTTACATGAGCGTATGTAAACACGGTTTTCATACTGAATCTTCTTGCGGAGTTCTCCCTCCTATTTATTTAGCAGTAACTCAGTTTCTTTAAGTTTGTTTTGAGTACAGTAATGGAAGAAGATTTTCCTAATTTTTCTTTGGAGTGTAATTTTCCCAGTACTCAAGAAACGGCCGAAAAGCCAACTGAACAACAACAACAAGCACGTCGCTTTCCCTCGTTGCAAGAAGAGGCTCTTTCATTAGTTATTTTATAAAAGAAATGTAAAATCGTTTCCATGTTTACATAGCCTGATGTAAACAATTGGGAGGTTGGGAGAACACTCGATAAGATGGAAACCACTCCGCTTCGCGTCGTGGTTTCCTACGCTTATCTCACACTTTATGGCTTATGTTGCTGAGTGGCGGAGCGTCAAACAGCGGAATTCGAAAGTTTATGGTTCGACTCCTCCAGTGGACTCAGAATTTTTCTTTGTCCCACGCTCGGGACAAGACCAAACACCATCATACTTGCCCCTCAACGGTGGAAGAGCGTGCTGCCAAAGAGTTGAAAAGTTTAATAATTGGAAAAAACAATAACTTGGATGGATTTCTAAAAATAGGTGAAATCAGCAAGGCTTCCCAGCTTGCTTTAAGTGTCCTCAAGTCAGCCAACGAGAAAACAGAGTGCAGACAACCACTAAGCCAAGATACGAAAGCACTAGTAGGTGTATTGAAAAAAATGCAAAGTCAAATTTTTACATTTAAGACGACCCCTCGCCCGCTGACACATCTTTAGAAAGCCACAAAGGATAAAAAGAATGTTTCCTGTCAAACGTTTGGCTTTTTTATCCACCCTCTCTTCGCAGTAGTGTTGTTAACGTTGATCTGGACAAACAACTTAGGAATCAATGTCAGTATCTTAGCCATTGCCCCCCTACCCCTCCCTTAACTAACCAACAGGCAACTGATAGCAAAGTAAGGTTAATGTCGGGTTAGGGGAGGGGTGGGTGGGCAGGACTTAGATACTGACATTGGTTCCGATTGCGGTTTCCTTGTACAAAACCACACGTTTTCGGTTCAGACATTCTCTTGCGTTTTCACTTCAATCTTTCTTTTTTTCTTTTGGAGTAGATTTCCAGCACTTTAGTGGAAAAATTTACTTCCATTACGCCGGAGGACCTTCAGATGTCTCGAATGATTATGAGTGTGGTCAGAATGGCAGGGGGAGACCAAGAAACCAAGGACTGTGATAGCTGTGGAAAAACTGCGGTAAAATACATAACTATTATGTTTTTTAGATTTGATCTCTTAACGCAAAGAGTCAACAGCTTCATCACGTCAAGACTCTTCTCAGGGTAACGCTAGAATTGTAAGATGTTGTATTAGGTATTGAGATAAAGTGTCTATCTTTAGGATGAACGCGGGAGACGCGGTGACGTAACGGAGTCTAGGTCGAGAAGTCCAGGTGGAGAAGTCTTGGTTTGGAGACCTGAAGGCCATTTCTGGAAAGCTCTGGTGACTTCACGGGTCCGTAAAGCCGTTCTGTTTTCATTCAAAGTGGAGGGTTTCACAAGTTTTGAGAACTATACAATAAAACTTTCATCTAAAGAAACAAAATGGAGTGATTAGAGTGCCACAACTTGCATCTCCAATCTTTAAATTTTATTTCAAAACATGGCTTTGGGCCCGTTAAGTTACCGTGACTTTCGAGAAACGGGCTTCTGGCCGAGTCAATGCGTTGCGTTCTTGAGAGAACACTGAACTCTTAGGGTGCCGCTCTCTACCAATGAGTAAAAGGAGCAACGGCAAATTGTCAGGGAAGCCCGATCAAATGCTAAAGGGTAACCTTGCAATGGACCAGCATCCCATTCAGGGGGGGAGTAGTGTACTGTTCGTCGCTTCATGTCGAGGAAACCGGGAAAAGCTCCGGCTGGGTGGGCCACTCGACTCGACTATAGACTTTACCTTACTTTTTTTAAGAACGAAACGATGAAATTGACTGATACGACAACAGAATTGCTGAGATATGCTCTTGGTGACATTGAGGAGCCTTTTTCTGCGGAGTTAGAGGAATCGGCGAAGAGTATGACGGCATGTCTCAAGAATGTTCTTCAATCGACTTCGAGATCGAATAATGCAAGCGGATATTCCACGGAAAACACCATTACTCTCACTGAAAAGGTATGGTAAGTAGCTCAAGATTGCAGTCATTTTGCGTGGCCAAGCTTTGAGATTGCTCTAGAAAACTCGCACCATCCTTTTGACTGATTAATTACAGTTATTTTCCCACGCTTTCGGACCCTTTGCCCGATTTTGATTGGTCTAGAAACCTGGCGCCATACTTTTAACCAATCAGTCTCCAAGTGATTCATACTTTCCTGCACTTAAGGAACATCATTCGCTTTTGCTTAAGCTGAGACAAACGCAAAGTACACCATGGTTGCAATGGAAAAAGGAGGGAAAAATCACGGTTGCAAAGTGTCTCTGTCAAGCGACTTGTGTGCTGGGGTAATCATTTTCGAGAAATGATCTTTAGTGCGCAACAACATTAGCTTTCATCAATTTACTATTACAGGATAGTGTGAAAAAGGCTGTTCAAAAGTTGGACGCTATGAACGATGCATTCTTTGCTCGCCTGGTTCCCTCAGAAAATCTTGTACTTGAATCGCCCGGCTTGACAACATCCCTAAAGAAGGTGTCCGCTAATGACGTTAAGGGTCTAGGTATGGAATACGGGCCTACAAAATTTAAATTACCAGGAGACCTAGGAAATGTGGGCGATGGAAATATCAATGCAAAGGTATAGTGCTTTAGAACTTTACGACAAAATTTTCTATAATGAGCTGAAGAATGCAGGCATTTGGTTGTTTCTTACATATGATCTATAGGAGGACGACCCCCTCGTGGGTCTGTTCAGCAATAGATCAGAGAAGACGTCAAAATATGATGAGAACATCAGTCACACACTCTGCTGCGCCTTGTGTGCCACACTTTTTTGATACCACATTTTGAAGTCATATGTGGTCATTGAACAGACCCACGGCAACATGGAATCTATTTATTTGAATAGACGAAAAGTTGTGCAATTCAAGCCCAGCGACTTCACACAGACAAATAAACTTCTTTTCGTCTTAGTTATGAAAATTTCAAATACATATTTTGATATAAACATCTCGCTATTATGAATTTTCATTCAGTATAGCTCGTCCAAACGTCAAGGAAACCAAAGTCCGAGGTTTTCTAAGTTTGTCTCGTTCAATGAGGAAAAGCTTTGAACGAAAATGCGACATAATTTCATTGCAACGAGCGACATGTTAACTTAAGATAGGAAAAAGAAAACATTGGTACGTTAGAAAACAGTATTAAACAAGTCCACCGACTCTTCTCTCCATATTTCATTTGGCAGATGAAAGCTGTTGATTTTAATCCATTCAGCTGGGATAACAGCAGCACGAAAGTCCAATCCAGTGTTATAAGTCTTGAACTTCAATCGGAAAATGGAGCAAAACTGAATGTTACAAACCTGGATAACTACATCGAAATCGTCATCCCACTTTCCAGCCCACCCTCAAAGACCAACAACAAAACAGTGATCGAACATCATTTCCTGAAGCCCCACCAATTGACTGTCCGAAGCTACTACGCAGAGCTAGCAGATGTGCCTGTTTTCATCACGTTAGGCGTACTAGGAACAAACACATCTATTAAATTGCTTGTGAAATTTGGATCGAGGCCTTCAACGGAGAGCTCTGATCTTAACGTCACTGTTAGGTTCACTTCGATGTGCGGGAACATGACTAAGGTCGTACCGAACGAATCTTCTTGCCATCTCGACGAGAAAACCATCACAGTTCTTCCGACGAAACCAACTCTCATATATATTGGTTTATTGTTGGAGTTATCAAAAACTGAAAGCAAACATGCAAGAGAGAAGAGGTCCTGCTTTGGCCAAGGGCGTCAGAGAAGATCCTGTGTTGGTGTCAAAGATCCTCCCCCTAAAGGTGTCCATCAGACGGTCTACCTCAATATGACCCACGCTCTGATGTCAACTACACTTTCACTGTAACTCAGTCGAGTTGTTTGTATTGGTCTGAAGATGAGGAAAAGTGGACTTCTGATGGTTGCAAGGTACATTGATAAGGATTCAATTTCAATCCAGCAGTAATCTGTGGAGTATTTCAAATCGACATTCATGTCGCAGAGTAGTTGGGCTATCCAGAGTAGCAAGATTGTGCAATTCATTTTTTCAATACCTTGGCTGTCCAAGGTTATTCGCGATTGCAATGGTTTCCTTCACTTCGTACCGTAATTGTTCTGAAAAAACTACCTTACCCTTTCGACCAATTAGAGGCAAGACTAAAACCACACGTAACTTGTTCACTTGGGTTTTCCCGCGCCTCAAACAGTGTTCTTGTTTTACCTCGAGTTCTAGTTGGCTTGCTGAAATTTCTTTTATCTGACTGGACGTTACAGCTACCAAGGTGTTTGTTTGACGACATTCAATAGAAAGATGCTTGTTTTTTTTGGCTTGAGTTTTTTCGTTTTTGCATTAGGCTCGTAAACCCTGCTTTGCATCTTTCTTCAATTTGCGACATCTTCATAATAATCTTTAAAAATTTTAAATAAGATTACCTGGCAAAAGCTTAAAGATGAACTCCACGAATTTATTTCTCATACAAGATCTTTCTATGGCAGGTCGATTCAGGTTCCAACACAACGCATCTCAAATGCCTTTGCAATCATTTGACGTCTTTTGGTGGAAACTTCATTCAAAAACCCAATCCTATTGATTTTGACAGAGTTTTCACAGAGTTCTCGCGTCTTAGTGAGTCTGGCAACATATCGGTGCTTGTGACAATTGCATGTGTGTTCCTCACCTATTTCATCGTGTTGGTGTTTGCGAGGAGAGCTGACAGAAAAGATGAGAGCAACGTAAGTATTATTCTTGAATATGAAAGCGGACTTCGGAATAATGGACACTTCATAAGCGGTAGTGAAAATAAGGCCTGACAAAAATTTAGGCCTGTACTGGATTTGAACCCATGACCGTATTACCCATTACAGTGGGGACCTTAAGCAAATCACGACGGCGACGGCAACGAGGACACGAAAAAACAAAAGATCTAATTGGCAGAACAATCGCTTAGCACATGCGTTTTAAGACTTTGTACATTTCCTAGCCGTTCCATGCAAAACAACAACGTGAAATCACCACAACTTGCGTCGTCCGCGAACCGAAACCGCGACGGCAAATTATTTAAATTTCCATTTGGAACTCAACACTTCTTTTATACGTTGTGCTGAAGTTGAGGTGTGGCGCCATATGAGACGGTAAACACATGCAGCCATTTTCGAAATTCTAATGAAAGGCAGAAATTCATCTCTTAATCGAAGTCTTCCTCGGCGTTGCCGTCCTAACTGCTTAAGGTCCCTATTATTAATTTTGCTAACGTAGTATAGTATGTACAAAGTTTTCCATGTGTACTTACCAGACTTTCAATACAGCATTAGAGATAAAGTTTTGATACCCAGTCTCCTGTATAACCTCATTCCGAAAGGGAATCCTTCTAACTCTTGTTTTATTTTAAAACACATGGTATCTGCTTTTCTAGAATAAGCTTACACGTATCTCGCAAGTTCCTTAATGGTAATTTCATTTTGAGGAGAATAAGCGGAGGTTCTTAGGGATGTCCTTACGCAGTTCAGCTAAGATCGTACCCGTTCTTCATTCTTCATCAAAAAATAACTGAAGAGAAATCATTAAGGTTTGGAAAAAACCGCCCTTCAGGCAGATTCACTCCTAAGGCTTAAGCCTTTGAATCTCGGCTACGAACATAATTTCTAAGAAATCAGTGACCGAGGGTTAAAGATCGCGCCAGAATACGCAAAAGTGTCATTAATTGGAACAAGAAAGGTGGTGAATTTTGTGCAGAGCAGAGGAACAAAGGAAAATGTTGATACTCGCATGACGCTTTCGATACTATCGATCTTAGCATTATATGCCAGACATGAGTCACATAAAAACTTAACTATGGCATAACTCACCATAGAGTCTCAATGACTCCGTAGTAGACCATAAGAGCGCGGAATTTAAAAGTCTTGGGTTCCATTCCTCATGGGAAATGGGCATTTTGGGGTATTTTGGCGTACTTCTTTCTCCTTCCACGTTCGTGATTAGACGAATGACAATCATTTATTTTCCTACCGAGCTCAAGTTCTAAAATCTCTCCATTTCTAATGAATCATATTTCTGTCATCATTTGAGTATATACTTGCAGATTTGCTCACCACAACGTGTAAATATTGCTGATGAAGGAATTTACTATTACGACATGGTTATTAGTACTGGCGTCTGGAGGGATTCAGCAACAACTGCAAACGTAACAATTAGCATAAAAGGGGAAAATGAAGATCACGATCAAATTCCCCTGCGACGAAATGGAGGTTTGAACCTTATGTTCGGTCGAGGAAGTGTAAATGGTTTTGTCCTAGTTACCAATGAATCGTTAGGAAATTTAAATGAAATAACTTTGGAGCACGATAATTCGGGAGAGAGTCCATCTTGGTTTGTAGAGGCAGTGGTAATAAGAGACAGACAAACGAAGGATCAGTGGGTGTTCCCCGTAAATAGATGGCTTGCTCTAGAAAAAGACGATGGGCAAATAGAGGTTAGCGTAGAAAGCAAAGGTGTTACTTCCTTCTCGGCAGAGGTGAGATCACGCTTCGGAAGGAAACTAGCCGACAGTCATTTGTGGATGTCAGTGTTTGGAAAAGCGTGCAATAGTACTTTCACGCGCGTGCAAAGAGCGTCGTGTTGTCTTTCAGTTCTCTTCAGTGCCATGATTGCTAATGCCATGTTTTACAACATTGGTGGAGAGTCGGTAGGAGCAATACAGATCGGACCATTCAAATTTTCCTCGAGACAGATAGTCATTGGAGTACAAAGTAGCATCATAGTCGCACCAGTGAACGTCCTCATCGTGTTTCTGTTTAAGTCTAGCAGAACCAAAGAGAAAAAAGCAGACAAATATGAAGAATCCTACCAAGTACAACAACTCATCGATGAAGTAAACGGTAAAGGCTGTATGCTGCCTCATTTCTGTATATACATGGCTTGGTTTCTCTGCTTTATGACCACCGTGACTGCTGCAGTGTTCACGTTATTTTACAGTTTAATGTGGGAAAAAGAGGTTGCTGAGCAATGGCTCGCATCCATTCTTATCTCAAATGGACAAGATGTTTTTGTTACCCAACCGACAAAGGTCATGTTAGCAGTTCTCGGCGTTTCCTTCCTTTTGAGTAGAAATAAAAAAGAAGACCAGCAAGAGAACAAAGTAGAAGAGGGGGACCCACCAGATGATGACATAGATTTCCTAAGTGAAAACCCTAAGCAACGCTTTAAAGAGAATCTCATGGAAAAAATGCGTGTACGAAGCAAAAAAGAGGCTCAACTGACAAGTATGGCGAGACAAATCGTCCTCCATTTAATATTTATGTTTCTCCTGTCTATCGTCTCTTACGGAAACAAGAATGGAAATCGTTTCTTAATGACAATCGCAACGAGGAATTCTTTCACAAAGTTCGACCGGGTAAGATCTACTTCTTTTAAGTAATTCAAAGAAGAAATCATTTCAAATTCCTTTTATACTTATTGCCTTTTTGAAGGAAATGCATTTCTGTATATGCAACTGAATGAGCCATGTTATAGACTAACAGAATATCTGTAATGAATCATTTGAATCGAGAAGTTAAACCTGTCACCGAAAGGAGAGTTGCAAGTTTGATATTCTAACTGCAAAGCAGGGATACGCTCTAACGACGGGCTTACACTCGAAACGTCAGTTTTGAAACCCTTTACTGCGGCCAATTTACGTTATCAACTCAGTTGATAATATCGAATTACCTTGTCACAAAAAAAAAAGTTACAGATCATCATTTATTGCCTGGGGTGGGGGTTTGGAGGATTTTGGTTGTCTCACAATAAAATTAACCAGATTTCCCACTAAGGCCCCGTAACATTCCTAGAATCTCCGTCTTATTGACAATTAATCACTAGTCCACTTCCTATAGTACTCCCTTTCTACTCTGTTTGTAACAAATGATCCTCTCCCAACCC